CCCTGGTACGACCGAGAGTGAGGAGAGTCCGCTCTCCTTTTCGTAATGCTCTCATATGGCCACGTGCATACAACCACCGCCATGGAAGTTCTACACACTGCCTTCTTGAGGCGGAGTTATTTATGAACTCGAGAGGACGAAAAGAGAATGTCCGTCACTTTTACCAGGTTGGTGGATACGGAAAATCCACCTAGGGAAGTTGGGAAACCTTGATTCCAAACCAATGGTGCGCATGAGCTCCAGTATACTGAGGGAACAAATGGTCACCAGCTACCAAGAACTGCATCTCCTTACATTGCTCCACTGCCTTGTGGATCAGACCTTTAAGTCGAAGGCTCAGTGTGTGGATCCCTAAGGAAACCACCTGCTTCGGTTTGGGCACCTAGGCAGTATCCCAGCCCTCACACAAATCGAATGATTTATGTGGCGCATATCTATTTGGTTCCTCCTTGTACCAATGTTTGTGTGTTTAAATGAATAAATAAACATATTTTTTAACCAACTTCCACGCAGCATCAAGTCTTTACTGGCAATTTACGCTAAATACGATGTACATCTCCATACAAATCCTACACCAGACAACATCGTCTGTTGGTGAAGCGGTCTACAGGTATATGTAGCTAGTGCAAACCACCTCAGTTGGTGATCTAATACCTAATCGACTAATTTGCCGTACTTACGCAGTATACTATGTCTAATCTCGGTACTTTTCATTCGATAGTCTAAAATACACGAATGTGTCGGAAACACATGGTCGAATATCAAATTGGAGGAGTTAATATTTGTTCTACACATCGACGTCTATGTCCAGAGTTTGCTCTTCACAAGTCCTAGTTAAGTGTTGGATGATTATTGAGGGTAATAATTTATGTATCACATTAGTCAAACTGATTCCTCAGTGGTTGTCAAAAGAGGACTTGTGTCTTTTCCCATAGACTGGGGAAATCAGAGATTGAGACTAGGTGGATGAGACTACGTTCAGTTCCCCGACTCTAGTTAACATCTCAATTTAACAGTCGAAATCGGACCACCATACTTAAAGATCATTGGAGTTAATCCATCATAGCCTGCTGCTATCCCTCGCTATGATCTTTTCTACTACATTAAGAGTTTGGGGGCCTATGTAGACATTCCAATGCGGTCGCCTGGTAGAATTAGGAGACAGAAAGGTAGAAAATGAACAATTAAACTTTTTCAAAGCGCTCGTTGCAGACCTTTGTGTAGAGGGTGAATAATTGTCACATCATTTTCAAGAAGTCTCACTGGTTACCGGTTTTTTACACTTGTTTCTTTGATGTCTGAAAGGTTGTCTACTGTTAATCAGCGCCGCCTACATAGTTTTGCTTTCCGCTAGCCACTAATGAATCCGACAATTACGTAGACTTTTTCAGGCTATTTCTAAGTTGTCTTCGCTTCGTATTATATATTAAGCCCGATTGGATAAGTTTCCGAGCATCAATCAATTCAGTACACATTGCTGAAACTCCCTGATATCTCTTAACCTTAACCGCTGATCAAGAGAAGATTTAATTATGATGTACATGTTACTGATAATGATTTTAAACCTGATATACAGCAGAACAGTTCAAAAGCTAGGAATTCAACCTTTGCAATCTACTAACAGAAGTTCTATTTTCACATTCGATTGATCCATTCGAGGGATTAGGCACGTACATACGCTTACTATGAAAAAATCTAGCAAAAAAACCATCGGGAGTTTATCTTCAAGGCGAAATCTAAATCATTTAATATCGAAACTTAGTCACTGATTCCAACAATTTTTGGCGATATTACTTCTAGTTCTTAAGCATGTCGTTTGTGAAACCAGGAAATGATCATTTTTTAGCTGATAGTCAATTTTGACAACTATGGTTTGCAAAAGTGACTGAAATCTACAGAAGGAAAAAATGTAGAACCATTGATAGATCGTCAAAATTTCGCCTTGAGTTTAAAATGTGTATGATAATCCATTTCTGCTATTTAACGGAATTTATAAAATTAGAGACAATGTGATCGCAATCATCCCGAGCTCCCAATTTCGGGGAAACCCCCAAAGTCAAATGACTATGACTAAGGTTAAAGGGGAATTTCGGGGAAATATTGAAGAATTTCCCCAGGTCTGGGGAAATTTTGGGGTTTTAGTGCCATTTCCCCAAGGTTTACTACAGCGGCTTTCCCAAAATGGGTAAAAATTTTCCCCAAAATTGGGAGCTCGGGATTCCCTAGTAGACGGAAAGAACAATCTAATTCCGAGTAGTTACCTTAGTATGTACATATATATGGTAAGCTCTGGTAGGTCTACATGTAATATAAAGTATTCATATAAGATACTTCAAAGTAACTGAATACTGAAAGATTTAAAATAAGTTAATCATTTACTTTATCTTGTAATTTAAATCAAGTTGTACAAGGTACATTTCAAATAAAGTTGACTATATTCAAAATTGAATTCAAGTAAATTGGTTAACTTACAAAGAAAAAATATCGCCAGGCTTATAGGTCCTATTAACACTTCATCTAACAACACCTTCTTTGCGACTATAGTCAACGACACTCCAGAGAATACTTTGTCTAACCAACTATAATATATAAATTGATAGAATCCTTGGAACGATCCGATAGCACTCTGTCTAACTATAGCAACGGAAACAAAGTAAATATGACCTAGATTACACAAAAAGCTGACAAACATTTGCATGTACGGAATAAAAGTTTCATCATTGCGAGAAAAATTAACAACTCAGACGGGATAGTACATTAAGGTCCCTGGCCTAAATTAAACTAGAAGAGGACAAGGCAAATTTGGTGATGACAAAAAACGTTGACTGTAAAGTCAACTTGGTTATATTTTAAGAATTAGAAAACTGATAAGTCAATAACAAACAATGTGACCTTATGACAAAGGTTTATGGGTCTAATTTGTCGAATATCGCACAAAATAAAAACTAACAACTATAAATGAACAGCAGTTTGAGCAATACCGATCATAAAGCTAAGCATTAAAAATATAGTTCGAAGCCAGTTATATCGGCGAATGTAAGGTATGGGACAAAAACAAAAACGCCATGAGTTACGAATAGTGCTCAGATACAGATCAAGATGTTAACATTTCTGCACACATACGTGCCAACCGATGTCATATCATATTCTGGTAGTCCATGATAGTCTTTTACCTTACTATGCTAACCACCACTAAACATCAAGGTAAATGATGATAGAGCATATGAAATATATTGGTGCAGTACACAACCAATTGTCGTTTAGAATCTTCAGTAATAAGGATAGTAGGTTTATCGACCTATATTAATCCTTGCAGTTTGTAATACTGTGGAGGTCCAATCTCGTTTTGACTATGTTAACAGAAGGTGCTGATATTACGTGTTCCGGTAGAGCATTCCAGTAATTCATTACTCGGTGCGAGAAATGGACTTATCAGGTTTGAGATGCTGAAGTAGCCTTAAAACAGTACCTTTCTCAATGACTACAGGATCCATCAGCGAGCCGTCACGGTCACAATGAATCGTTGGTCGTTCCCCATTACCGATAGAAAATACTTTACTAAAATATTCCGACAAAGCTTCAGCCTTTTCGGCATCATTTTCTGCCAAGATTAACGGATTTTCTTGTATCAAAAGTGATGGAATTCCATCGCTTCTCTGAGTTCGCCTTTTTATATACGAGAATAACCGTTTCGGACTATATCTAGAATCCCTAACCGATTGTTTTTCATATGATAGTCTAGTCTTGCTTATTAACGCTTTACAGGTATTCTTAATCTTACAATAACTGGATCTGTATTGTTCTAAGCCAGTAGAGATGAACATATTCCAGTGATTCTTCCTTTTCCTAAGGAGTTTCCTGACTGATTTAGTTATCCATGGTGGACTGTTATTCGGTTTTCGTGGCACCAGGTATGGTATGAACGGGGACGTAACTAGACTAAACTCACCTTTAAATACAGACCATGCTTCTTCAACTGGTAAGCTAGTATCTACAAACCAATCTGTCTTAGCGGCGCATTCCTGAATGGCTGATATGTGAGCTTTCCATACATTTGGGCGGGGTGTATCCTGATCGTATATGTCCCTAGTTCTAAACGTGAGTGACAAAACAGCGTGATCGTTGTTCACTAAGGGTGGAAGAATATTTAGGTCGACAATATCCTCAGTCTCAGAGTGATTACCAAGTCCAACAGAGAAGAACCTTAGTTAGCACCAAAACGTGTGGGTTTGGATACATGCTGTACTAATGCATGCTCCATTATTGTTATCAGGAACCTGCTATCAAACGAGTTTATAGATCCTTCCGTGGTCATCTCAGTCCAACTAATATCAGGTGCATTAAAGTCTCCTATTACCAAGTATCTGTTATTTGAACCCCATAGTTGAATGTGCTCTAAAATAAAGTTATCAGTTAAGCAGATTGGGCTGCGATAGATGACACCGAGCATAAATGTACTACATCCGACAGCCAACTTACAGCTAATGACTTCACAAGTACCGCTATCATGGGATTCGCTAGCAGAGGAGCGGATATTTATGCTATTGGCTATATATAACAGGATGCCACCTTCTTTTCTACATCTATGTCTATTACTCCTGAGGTAATTGTATCCGGATAATTCTGGAGTAATGTCTAAGTCATGGACTAACCAAGTTTCTGTCACTGCTACAACGAGTGGCTTTAACCTGTCCACTAGTGCTTCTAGTTCACAGAACTTATTTTGTAGACTACGAGCGTTGGCATATAAAACTCCTAAGTAGAACGGCCTATCCACACAGACCTTGGTAGCATTCGCTTCCAAGACCTGACTATCCGGAAACCCACTGGCCGGAGATTTTCCTCACCGTTTTGCCGACGGGTTCCAAGTTCAGCCAGTGCCTTCTTCCTTTTTGTTCTATCTTCGAGGAACATGTCAGGTCTAACTCAGATGTCAGAACTGTCGTGACAACGTGCGCTACTTAACAGGAGATCCCGCTGCTTCCCCGATCCTAGGATTACCTTAAGGAGTCTGCATGGTCGGGGTTCAACACTGTCATCAGTTCTCTTGCCTATTCTAACCAATTTTTTGACCTGAACTCCTTTAGAGTTATCTGGTAAAATACTACGAATATATTCTCCTAGCTGTTCTAAATCATGCGCGTGTCTAATTTTAGGATCAGAGTAGTTTGACTCCCGCAATTTGCTCACAATAATATTAGATGTTATTTGATTTTTCTTCTCAGTCACTCCAGGATGGCTTTCACTCTTACCACCAGATTTTGGTAGTGCAGTTAGAGACTCACAATGGGAGTCCATCAGTGAGTTACTAACTATCTGTGTACTGCCTACAGATTTTTTCTTTTCATTTCCCACGTACCGTAGTCTATTTTTCATCCCTCAGGACATTAGGACTATTTGGAACGGTGACGGTTTTATCCAATTCGTCGGTTCCCACTAAAGGTGCATTGTTACCAATGTCAGTACCAGGTGGTATTACTCCCCTTGTTGATGTTAACGGAGATTTCACTTTTGTGTCGGTTGGAGTCGGTCGTTTGAGGCATCGCGTAACAGCAGGTACTACACGGACACATTCGTCACTGTCAGTGCCCGTGTTGTCAGCGCATGTGCTATCGTTTTTCTTGCAGGCCAAAGCCAATAGGGCCATAGCCTCCTGAACTAGTACCTTTTTATCTGTACAGCAGAACACACAAAGCCAATGCGAGTTAGACTTCGAGCATCTTTTGTATGCCATCGGACTTAGGTGTGTACACATTTTGTGGTACCACTTTTCACAATCATCACACTGAATTCCCTCCTCAACGGGGAGCAAACAATTTGGTTGCCCACATTTGTGAGTCTTACCAACCATTGTAATTCGATTTGAAAGGTTTAAAAACACACAATGATCACAATGTGAACACAAGTGTTAGTCAAGGAGTAAAAAAAGGTACTCAGGACAGAATTTAGCAAAAAATTTCAAACTTTAACTAAAGTACTTTTAGTTAAAGTAGACCAAGAATGCTTTTTGGTGCAATAAGTACCCAAAGCAAGTATAATCAAAAACAAGTACAAAAATCATTGCCCTTTTGGAAACGAGCGCGTCAGTCTTCATTAGACAAGTATTTGTCTTGCTTATGAATCCGGAGAAGACTCACTCAGTCAAGCATTTTAAGATAAAAAGACAAGCTGACACTTACTAATGGTGTTGAAGTTGTAATTTTTGGTATCTGTGATGAGATATATCCAAGACTTTTTAGATGATTCTTGATCACAAACAGAGCACAGGTCGGTATTGGAGCCTGAATTATAGTTAGGAGCAACAAAAAAGTACATTTTAAGTGACTGAGCACAAATTTCACCCAATGCCATCAATCCCCCTCCAATTATTATATTTTTGATATACGGGTGATATACATGACCTTTGTAAATTAGTGGTGACCTAGCTATTTTGCAGTTCTTCTCACAGCGTGGCGCTTCCGGAGACATAGACATTTCAGTTCACGTATATGAATAAAGACGGGATTGCGAGCGGTCAGAAAATTATTACGTATTATTCAGTAGACCAATTCACAAGACTTTTAAATTGACCCAAACAAATATTACACGGCATTCCAAAATCATAACAAGCGTATAATCAGAGTGGCACTTAAGGAGAAAGTGTAAAAATGCTCATAAATATACATAGTTATTTTGACTAATATGAGTTGTTTAGTGATCTGAGATAGTTTGAATAGCAGGACATATTAGTAATTAAGCATTTTGCACAATATATATTGTTATTATTTTCCTGTGAGAAAAATGTTTAATGCAAACTAGATAATAAGACAATACGGGGTCCAGGCCGTCACCCAAAACATTAAGTACGCTAAGTAAGTCAGATCCTTTCAAAGTACCCGCCGTTTCATTTTAACAACCTTGAACAGCCTGACATGAGGCAGCTATTCGGTTATTGGAAAATGTTGTAACGCGATGTATATTTGGCTACATACTTTCATCACCAATTTGTGAACAGCCAAAAACTTTATTTGAATATAAACATACTTGAAAAATGATTTTCTGATCTTGCAAATATGTGAAAAATGATTCTGCAGAACATGGTACGTAAAAGTCAATGCGAAAATTTCTTTCCAAAACTGCATGGCAGACTATAATTCCTAACAGATACTGCACACATTTCCACCGTATTTATAATTTGAGTCCCTAGATTTCCAATCTTCTTGAACAGAAATGAGTGACTGAAGATAGGTAACATCAAATGTTACTTAGTCAAATATTTAAGTAATCAAAATCCATGAAACGTTTCTTGTCCGCAAGAAAGAATGCACCTTAGAAATTGGTAGTAATTTATTTGAATACACTGTGTAAATACATATGGATAAGTATGTGGATGTAATAACTAGCCAAAACGAAGCATACGCACGTTTCGTCGTTCACCTGAAATAAGAACGAAAAAGCATCTTCAAATTCTCCCACATTTTCTGTTCTCAACAAATAGCAACATGAAATCAACTTACGTGGCAGTGTCTCATCGGAGTTGCTTCCAAAAACCTGAACTAATATTGACAACATCAACACTGCTCGCAATAAACATTGGATGAGACGCGATTTATAGCTGTTTGTCGACATTGTTCTCTTGCTGATTTCTAATGTTATTGTAGAGTATAAATAGTTTTCACTGGTCTTGTTACAAACCAATGATCAGCAAGAGAATTATAAGTTAACAACTTTTGGCCAACACATTTAGGTCAGCCAATTAGTTAGGATTTCGCATTTCAGAGTCAGAATCTGTTTGTTGTGACACAAAACAGTTTCTGACCACCTACTAAATTTCTCAGTCACACACACATACGTAACACGTTTAGAGAACCACTTACAGGATCACTGAGACCGTCAATGTAGGTTAATCAAAGAATATCTAAAATATTGTTTGTTCCATTCCTAAACTGTCGAGAAGCATCTTCGACTAGTCACATCACTGTCTCACGGAATTACACAAGTGAGATTATTCCGTTTGCCATAATTTGGTACTACGTCCGTGTGATGTAATCTTGGTTTGAGATATCGATTTTCATATATATACGATTGTACAGCTTGATAATAAGTTCGTTGAAAAGTGATCTCTTCGCTGAACTCTGTTGTTTTAATCTTAATGTTTAAATGGAAATTATCTGACAATATCGACGGGTGACCAAAATATCCATTATAATAAGAGAAAATAACTTTTGCATGCTCAGCAATACGCCTTCAATGTTCGTTTAAAAAACGAATTACCTCTTGTACTTCCTAGATATACATGATGGATAATTGGACGTAAACTAAGCACAATATGAAAGAACCACTATCTACCACTTTAGAAACTGATAAGTTAGAAGGCAAAATGTGTCATCTGGACATTTTACTACAATGCGTTCATATAGTTTATCGAAAATGAATCATTTCAATCATTCACGGTTTCCATTACAAATGGGCAATAATTTTGTTGGACTTAATTTGTGTTTAATAACATCCAACATTTATTGAGTAAGCAATTTCGTGTCCAACAAATCCATGGCCGTCTAAACAACTGATCTGTATTCCCTAATCGTTGCACTCAAGTACTTGCGATGACGACATTTACCACAGTTTCCATGTGCTTATATTGAGTTTTTAAAGTGTCCTCAATTTCATTCAACCGTACTTGATATGTGGAAACATGTGACAGGATAACGTTCGTAAAAGCAACTAATGTGATTGTCTCTATTCTCTCAAAGACATACGCCATGCATCACTCTTAAGAAAAGATTGCGAACTAAGTTCGTCTATTATGGATAATGGTCGTGCAGTTCGCATGTGTGTAACAAATTTTGAAATCAGGATAGCCGTTTCACACCTAAGATCACAACGATATCTTCATATGCAAACAATCTTGCATAATACATCACCCTTCATCTACACAATGGCGTAAAGAGATCAAATGAATGAAAACGAAGTGTTCTGCATTTCTGTATCCTGAGCACAGTATGTTTCGATGTTTCGATAGTTTAGAGCATCTTGTTGCCTGGTTTTACACTGGTGTCGAAAACCCAATCACAGCTAAAAAACGGCTATTGTGATTGCAGTTTAGAAAACAGAACGTCTTAATTACCTTTATTCGAAACATATAGAAGTTAATGTTGAGTGTCATCTGGAACTCCACCTAAACAATGTGGAAAATGAAAACAATGGTGGAAACACCATCAACAACAAAGTCTGTACCTCTCGCCTATGTTCATGGCCGAAATGTATGCGTTAACAAATAGTGGCAAATGAGCAGCCTTATCTGTATAGCCAGTAACCACACATTACATTTAAGCGACCAAATGCACATCATGATGATTGAACAAAGAAGGTACAATTCAATAAAATACATAGAATTCAAATATACCTAATCCAATCCGACTAAAATTAATGGGGTAAACTGAAATATATTGAACCACAATGAAATGTTCGCGTTCACACGGAACCAAGACAATCATCAGTGAAAATATCCATCTGACATGATTTACAGAGTTGGCAAAGTGTTTTCAGTGTGCCTGACGTTCTGTAAACTGAGGAACAGTCTGTTATTATACTGATGTGCACATGCAGAATACTAATTCCTTAGAATAACGTAACTGTTATACCTTCCATCTGGCATCGCATTATTCGCGAGGACACAGATGTTTTTCTAAATCAATCCGATATTATTATTTATTCCAGTGAATTTTATAAGTGAATATGTGTTCTAAAAACTGGCTTTATGGAAAAAGGGATTATGTACTTTTAACTGTAGCAATAAAATAGTGAAAAGGTTTGTCTTCTCAGGACAAATCAGTGAATCTTGAGTGCACGGCCATTTATTGATTGAAGAAACAAGTTGTATCTGATAAACATTTTCAGATTCCTCACTCCTATATCTCAGATATGACCTTAAACTATTGTGCACAACATGTTTTGAATAATGAAAGACGATGTAATGGGAAACGATATTTTCATATGAAAAACACTGCTCATATACAAAAATAACGGAAAGCACATTGATAGTGTCACATGTTTTACACGGTTTCTGAAGATTTCAATATAATTTGGAATTCTCAAAACACTTTTAGTCACGAGAGTGTGGTAATTGCAACACTGCAAGTACCTAATGAATGTTGAGGACACAAAGATTTTAGAGATTGTCCCAGATTCCAAAAGCAACGTAAAGTCAGCAAACACAATTACATGAGAATCTAGGAACTGAATGATTACATTGGCAGGATAAAGTACGACGCATAAGACCAAGCTTCTAGTTCCTGTAGTTTTTCGTGTGAAAACAGTAAAGAGTCTAGACGTCGGATGCTGACCACACATATTTCGTTTCGAAATGGATTTCAGGAGGCTATTCACGGATTTCAACACGTCACATCACCATAGTCCCATTGCATCGCAGTCAACGTATATTCACTGTTTTCACATTGAGAGTGATGACATTTTGGACGTGTACTATCGGTGTGAAGAGAAAGCCGCACAGGAGACCAATCGTGAATGAACCGTTGGAGATCTAAATAATGGTGTACACTATAGTCGAAGGCTCTTTAATTGTCCGTCCACACTCCGTGAATGGTTTGATCCCAGTGCATATTGCACTAAGCCTTTCAGGATGATTCACAGCCATCCCTGTATGGAGAAATAATTAAGGGGAGCCTCCGAGACGATAAGCGGAAAAGCATCGCAGGCCAGGGAACGACAGTGAAACAAGCCGCAAGAGAAGGACGTCTGAGACGATTATTAGTGAATTATAATAAACCAGAGAGACCTGCTGGGAACAAGTAATTCGGGTTAGTCACTGGTTTTGAAGAACGGCGAAGCGGGTGGATAGAACACTTTGAGGAACTCTTGGGTGGCCCAGTCATACTGAACTCACTGAACATCGACGCAGCGCCTGGAGACCTACGCGTGGATGTTACTCCACCAACGATCAGAGTGAAGATGGTCA